GAGCACTGGGTGTTATATGCAAACAATGAATCATGGAACACTACATCAAAAACTAATGATGTAATGTATGGTGATTAACATAACATAATAAAAAAAAGAAACAAAACAAATGAACAGAGGGGGAAAAAGAAAAAAGAGGGGCAAATCAGAAAGTGGACTCTTAAATATAGAGAACAAACTGAGGGTTGATGAGGGAGGTAGGTAGGGGGACAGTTTAAATGGGTGTTGGGGATTAAGGAGTGCACTTGTTGTGATGAGCACTGGGTACTATATATAAGTGATGAATCACTAAATTCTACATCTGAAACGAATAGTAATGTTGTATGTTAACTAACTGGAATTTAAATAAAAAATTGAAAAAGAAAAAAAATGGGATGAGACTAATGATGTAGTATAAGTTGGCTAATTGAATTTAAATAAAAGTAAAAAATGAGATGAAAATTAATAAATTAAAAATAATTAAATCTTAAGAACTTAAATAAAACAGTCACTTCAATGAAAGCAATCTTCCACCAGGTAGTTGCCCTTGGAGTGGTCACTGACTTTTCTCTGCCTATCATGTTCTGGTGGAATTAAATTGCTCTTAGTTCTATGATGGCCATGGTTGTACTGGAGAAGATAAGGACAGTGAGAATTTGCATTTACCGGGTGGGTGTTCCATAAAGGAGAGGACTGGATGCAGCAGAAATGGCCACAATTATAGCCGGGACTCCATAGCCCACAGGAAACATGAGCTTCTTCATGACCCTGCTCACACTGGAGTAGTTGACCACCATCAGGTTGCGTGCAGTGAGGAAGAGGTGCAGACCTTCCAGCAGCATCCAGGTGAAGGATGCCAGGTAGAGATAGTGTAGGACACCCGCAGTGATGGCGCACAGCACCTGGGGGAGGAGAAAGGTGTCACCAGGAGGGATTGTCAGGGAGGAGGGTGGCCCCAGGACCTTTCCCATACTTTGCCATTGAAGAGAACTCTCATGTATATGGTCACATTGTCAGGAGAGGGTTTGTCTTCTAGTTCATTAGTCAATGTGAAATAGGCTACTTACCCCTCTAACCTCCCCAGGACCCAAGGCTATTTTATCAGTGCTCCACGAAATGATCATCACATAGGACAGGGCAGGTGGTCCTCTGTGGCAGTGTTAGTACCTTGATCTCAGTCCAGTCAATGGCCATGAGGAAGAGCAGGTGGGCCAGGAAGAGGCAGATTGAAAGCTGCAGGTGGATCGAGGTGCTGGTGTTCTGGATGGTTTTGCACAGCAGGAAGGTGAGAGCTGCCAGGAGGAGGCATAGCAGAGAGAGGTCCAGCCCCAGGTAGGTGATCACAGCCAGCACGGGATCCTCCTCCTGGTACCCGTCAACGAGGAGATCACAGTCACATTTTTTAAAAAAGATTTTATTTATTTATTTATTTATTTAACAGAGAGAGAATGAGAGAGAGAGCAAGCATGAGAGGGGGGAGGGTCAGAGGGAGAAGCAGACTCTCTGCTGAGCAGAGAGCCCAATGTGGGACTCGATCCTGGGACTCCAGGATCATGACCTGAGCTGAAGGCAGTCACTTAACCAACTGAGCCACTCAGGTGCTCCACAGTCACATTTTTTTTTTATTCTTATGTTAATCCCCATACATTACATCATTAGTTTTAGAT